TTCACTTTACATGGTGGCTCCACCAACTGCTTATATTTGCCTCCCCTACATTCCTCTGCTACGCCTTTGGGTTGCTGATAATGGAAAGATGAAGCCCTGGGTAAGCAGTGAAGTAGGAACCGAGGCAAAATAGGTTGCCCCTAAATCCTATGTGGCCTACAAAGTCATAACCAGGCCCTACAGGACAAGTCATATGTACAGCTCTGCTGTGATTGAAGGAGATATAATGTGCTCTCTGACTTGTTGACACAGCTGTTAGTCATAGTAAAAGCCTTCTGTAACAAGGGTCGATAAAGCTGAAAATCAGAAAGTCATTCCCCTGGAGGAGTGGGGACAAACCGTGCCAGGTTGGGGTGATATATAACTTTGTGGGATGGAGGCAGAGGGCAGGGCAAAGTGTAAGATTTTAAAAACGTAAATAAACAAAAGAGGTTGGCTCTTAGATAGTGGGATGGTGGGGGGTGTAGGAAACTGTGGGGGGAGTGTTTTGCAGCACTCTTTTTTTCTGCAGCCTACTATACCACACATTCCTTAGGTGGGGGCTGAATCTAATCTGATGAACCCCCCACTGTCTCACAGGGAATCATGCACAGCTGTGGCTTTCAATCACCAGCTGTGTGCTGGGGAAGGGGGTCAGGATGTCTCCTGGGATTGTCTGGTGTGAGCATTAACTATCAAAAGTGAGATAGATTAGTGACAGAGCAGACAGAAATCACACCATGTGTTTTGGATTGAGGCTAGTGCATGGTATAGAAGGATATGCTTTGTTCATTTTTCATTTCAGAGGTTTACATCAACTTTAAGATCTTCTTTAAAGATGATTGCTATGCTGCGAGTGTGAGAATTTGGCTTTACTGAATGTACACATGACCAAGGGATAAAAAAGTTCATAGAAAGGCCATTGTAGGAAACACAGCATTTACAGTTAATGCATTCATTAGACACAAGACACTTGTGGCCAAGTTCTCTAGAACAATACACTGTGCATTCCAGGAATGTGCAAACACCCATTAGTGTGTTATTATAACCATGATGCAGATTGTATATTTGGGGGGGGTTCAAATAGCATTCATTAGTGGATTTCATTGTAATTACTAGATTTGCACATTTTCTATCAGTAAATAAGTCAGACAAATCTTCCCCGATCCCAGTCTGCAAACCTTGATTAGGAGCTTTCTATTCTCGCTGACATCTGCCGTTGACCTAAAAATGTCAAAATAAGGCAAGCTCCAAGAAATCTTCCGATAATATGTGACAGAGAGTCATACCACAAGGAGTGTTCCCAGGCTACAACTTTCTTCCTTGAAAACACTTTATTAACTCTTCATTTCAGACATGAAGATAGAGATTTGTTATTCTCCCATTTAGACTGAAGTACTGCAATAAAAGGTCATTTAATTTCTTTTTCCATGAAAATAACCTCCACACATCTACAAACTGTCATACTTTCCTATTAGCAAAAAAAAAGAAAAGAAAAGGCAAATCAAAGTCGCACCCATCCAAAGTCACATCAAAGTTGCATCAAAGTCAATAGCTTCCTATTGACAAAAAAAACCCAAAACACATCAAAAATGCACTACCCGCATTTCTACTGCATTTCCATTGAAGTCTGTTGAGCCAAAAATGCACCATATTGCACTTAAAAAATTTAATTTAAATAAAATTTAATTTAAATGACCCCTTCCAAAAAAGCAGTGGCTGAAAAGTATATAGATGTGAACGTGTCCCAAAGGAAACCATGTTAAATGGACTGTAGTGCGTTTCTGCGAAATGCATTGGTGTGAACCAGGCCTTAGAATGTAAAGACAATTGTCTATATAAACAGAATATATAAACAGTCGTTACAAATAAAAAAATAAATAAAAATCAAAAAGAGTAACAGAACACAAATGTAAGGTAAGTGTAGCCATAATGTATTTTTTAGAGTTGAATGCGGTCTTGTTCAGTTTAATAACTTCAACTGACCGAGGATGTAAAAAAACATTAAAGGCTTTTTCACACCATCATTTCAGCATTCTGGAGGCAATTTTGCTTTTTTTTTTTTAATTTGGACACTTGGAAAATCTTTTATTTTCATTAGGACAATGCGCTTTCTGGTGCAGTTGCGTGCATTTTGATGCATTCTGAACAAAAAAATGCAGCAAGTTGTACTTATGTTGGAAGCACTGGAACTGACCATACTGGTGTGAACTAGGGCCATTGGAATACATGGCAAACATGGTTTAAAAATGCACTGGAAAACAACTGTTGTAAACCATCCTTAAAGCTATACATACACTATACAATATGATTGTATAGACTCATTTACCTTTAGCAAAACTATGTAATATGAGGAAAAACCTAAACTATCCATTCAATTAGTATCAAATCAGAAAAGCCATTATACTACATAGTTGATGGTAGATCTAAAACAGATTATATATGCAGATATATATGCAGATTGTATAGCATATGGTCAGCTTAAGGGCTCATGTACACGGGGTGTTTGGAAAACTCTTCTGAATGATGAAAACTGACTGCTGGAAAACGCAGGTTAAAAAACGTCAGTTTAGCCGCATTTGCATACCGCGTTTATGCGTGTTTATGTGCATTTGCATTTAGAAACTTTTTAAAAGATAACCTCAGGAGACCTTCCCAAATGCCCAGAATGCACTAAAGAATAGTAAAAAATGAACTATTTCAGACATTTTGAGAGGAATAAAGAGAGCAGAAGCAGAGAGATCAGTATGTGCTGAGATGATCTGTCTTTTCTGGTTGTATTCACTATGGATCCCATCATGAGCATAATGTGGCACATTCTACCATTGTTTCCTTCACGCGAAACCTGGAACTGACTGCGCTGGTGTACTGGGTCCATTTGAATACATGGAAAACGCTTTGCATGTATTTCTGATGATTAAAAAAGGCTCTGGATAGCATCTGGACATGGAACAATTAAAAAATGCTTCTAAACGCGAACGCGAATGCTTCTAAACGCGGTTAACCTACTCCTGAACGCAAGTTTGGTGCGTTGAAAAAAACGACTGCAAACTCAACTGCCTATAAATGACTGTAAACAACAAAGTGTACATGGACACATAGGAAAACATTAGGGAGAGTTCAGGGGCTGCTGAAAAAAATGCTGAACAGCTCCTCAACGTCATTTTATCAGCTACAGTGTACATGAGCCCTAAGACAGGTGCATGAGGACTGAAGACTATTGTAAAAACAGAATGTAAGCATGAGGTGCCTTATTCATGCTTGATCCCCATTCAGCAAGCATAATCATACAATATTATTTGGAATGATTGCTGTTGATGCCTACTGCAGCCATTCCATTAAAACCCCCATGGCCGGCACAACTAAATTTAAATAGAGCTGATTATTAATCTATCCTCCCTTTTCAGCAGTTTGATAGCTCAGCAAAATCAATTTGTAGAAACAACTCCATTCACAGGTTAAACTGTCCTGCTTACATACTGCAAGGAAAGTCTTACTTTGTCAGCCACTTTTATGTCTTAGAAGGCAGTGCTGTCACATAGTTTACTAGATGTCGGATCAAGGAATAACAATGGAACAATGTGCCATTCTGTAATTGGGTGCCAGCAAAGGCACAAAAGTCCTCTGTGCTCCTCTGTTTTCTTTTTATGCACAGTTTTGCCTACAGCATTCATTGAGTGTTTGTGTGCCAAAAAGTGTTTCTTTTTTTTTTTTTTGTCTTGGGTGTCGAAATGTTGAAATGCTAGTAAAAATGTTTAGGGAGTGCCAGTTACATACAACACATGCGTCATATCATTTGAGGTAGGTCCAAATGTTCTGCTAAATGGGTGACGTCTCTGTTATACTACTGCTGATTACAGCTTAACCCCAGACAAAAATAACATTTAGGCCTCTTCTCCATCAAGCCTCCTGCCGGCAGCCTCTAAAGCCCTAGGAGAGAATAAAAAAGCTGCTGCTGGATGGGGCTGGATGGTAACATGAGTGGTTCTAATTTTTTATGGCAGTATACACACAGGAACGAATGCCTGGAAGGCTGACCGCTTGCGTTTCAGGGATTCATATATTGCCCTAAGCCTAGGTTCAAATTAGAAAGTGGGAAACCCACACTCCATGGCTGTTTCCTGCACCACATTCAAATCTCACTGCCTTGCAATCTGCAGCTGGTGTCAGTGCAATCACCCCAAATTCACGTCGTGCAAAATGACCATGCGATCAGGTTGCAGTGTGAATCCAATATTGGTACATGCTTGTCTTTGGTGCGATGCGATTTGATCCCATTCAAAATTAATGGGCTCAAATTGCACCATACTGGTGCGATTTGCATAGGAATGTGGTGCGCAAACGAATTGCACAGGAATGTGGTGCAGAAATGAATTGCGCAGGAATGTGGTGCGCAAACGAATTGCACAGGAATGTGGTGCACAAATGAATTGCGCAGGAATGTGGTGCGCAAACGAATTGCACAGGAATGTGCTGCACAAATGAATTGCGCAGGAATGTGGTGCGCAAACGAATTGCACAGGAATGTGGTGCACAAACGAATTGCACAGGAATATGGTGCACAAACGAATTGCACAGGAATGTTGTGCACAAACGAATTGCACAGGAATGTGGTGCACAAACGAATTGCACAGGAATGTGGTGCACAAACGAATTGCACAGGAATGTGGTGCACAAACGAATTGCACAGGAATGTGGTGCACAAACGAATTGCACAGGAATGTGGTGCACAAACGAATTGCACAGGAATGTGCTGCAGTTACTGTGCAATTCATAGTGTGAACCAAGGCTAAATGTTAGTATTGCTTGGTGCACTGTCTAGCTGCATCAGTTGTCAGCCTCTCACAGAGCTTTACAGGCTGCCGGCAGCAAGGCTGGATGGTGAATCTGTGTCTTCTTCCCACACCTGACTGCTGATGTCTTATGCAACAGGGCTATGAAGTTTGCGTTTCAGACATTTCTGCACTGCGTTTTTGCCGCGCTTGTAATAAGTTTTGCATGGTTTTTTTTTCATTTTTAAAAAATTTTTTCTTGTTGCTAGGCAAAAAATGCAAAATGCATCAAAATGCAGGAAAAGCACAGCAAAAACCCACTACATTGGGGGTTTTTGCTGTGTTTCCATTGAAGTTTCCATTGTTTCCATTTGAAGTCTATAGAGTTTCCATTGAAGTCTGTAGAACCAAAAATGTAACTTTTTGCGTTCAAAAAAGTCACTGACTCTTCCCAAAAAAATGCACTGGGTGAAAACGTGGAGATGTGAACGTGTCCCATAGGAAATCATGTTAAATGGACTGTACTGCATTTCTGCAAACCGCTTCGGAAAACGCTTGGGTGTGAACCTAGGGTTGATGCTGTCATCAGCAGGCTGGATGTAGGATATCCTTCAAAGACAGGGCAACTGAAAAGAATAAATTGCCCTGAGCAAAAGAACAGCTACAGGATACTTGCTGTAGTGCTGTATTATTCACAATCAACTTGTTTCACACTGTCTGGAAGATGGGTTTGCTGAAAGTGGTAATAAACACCTCTGGGATACTTGTACCTACAGGTAAGCTTATAATACAGGGCAGCACAGTGGCTAAATGGTTAGCACTTCCACTTAGCAACACCAGGGCCACTGGCTCAAATCCCAGCCACAGCACCACCTGCCTGGAGCTCGCATGTTCCCCCCGTTCCTGCGTGGGCTTCCTCCAGTATCTTTCCACACTCCAAAGACATGCTGGTAGGTTAATTGGATCCTGTCTAAATTGTCCCTAGTATGTGTATGAATGTGAGTTAGGGACCTTAGATTGTACACCCCTTGAGGGTTAGGGACTGATGTGAATGTACAATATATATGTAAAGCACTGTTTAAATTGATGGCGCTATATAAGTACCTGAAATAAATAGAGTTTACCTGTAGGTACAAGGAATATCTCCTAAACATGCACCATTTAGGAGATGTTCAGTGTTGCTCCAGCCAGTGACACCACCAGCATATGCGCTCTGAAGGAATGACATACGCGTGCCATGGCATGTGCACAGGAGATACATCATTGCAGCTTGCCCATTCAAGTGGCTGCAGCCCGTGAACCCACGAGGAAAACTGGGTGAAGATGGAAGCCCTGTCAGCAGTGACAGCATGCAGCTGGAGGGCTTCATTTTAAGTATTTTTTAATGTGCTAGTATGCGATACAGATTTTTTTTCTTAATGTGCATGAGTTTACTACCGCTTTAACACACACCCACAAGGGAAGTTCCACTTTGAGGCTTCGTCCCTAGCTCCCTATTAAAGATTGGCACTTTCGGGGAGTGGGGGTACCCAGATTTGACAGATACCTTCTTTCACTTCCACTGTAATCGTCTAGGCGATCGGAAATAGAAGTTGTCCTCCCCCCTCCCCGTAGTCTTCTCGGATGCGTGACAGGTCCCAGAAGACTACGGGGCCATTCACAAAGCGCACCCGGCTGTGAAGCCGCAAGCCGTTACAGCCGGGTGTCCACACAGAAGATGTCGAGGATACAGGACGGCCGGTGTGGTAGCTTCTGATGTTTGTTTTTTAATCTTGGCTGGACCTCCACTTTAAGTCTGGGTTCACTTTAAGAAATCACCTAAGTTTTATACCCCTGAGGAATAATGTGACAGCCCCATTAGTCACAGCATGTCATTCATTAAGACAGATTGGCTGCAAAACCATCAATACAGGGAGATGCTCTTAGAAGTGTTTGCCTTGCACTGTGTCTCTGTAACAAACTACAGGAGCTGATCCACAGTGTGGCTGGGTCTGGTCAGTGATTCTCCCAGATGGACTTTGAATGATCTCTTTTTACTAGTTTTGGCTGGAGAACATTCATAGATCAAAATGATTTAAAAAAAAACAATAAACAAGCTCACTTGAACGTGTGAACTATCACAAGACTGATTTACAGAGAAATGATGATGAGATGGAACTATATGAACAGAGATCTGTGATCAGCGTCTGAGCCTCCTTAGTACTGAGTGCAACATCAGGTGTTCCTGCCAATGCATTTCCATGACAACATTTCTTCTTCCAAATGTAAGTGTGAATTTTATTAACGCAGAATAGAGATCATTTCTAACACACTGTGACCTGTCTGCAAAGCAGAGAACACACCTCTGTGAGTCACTTAAAACGCCTACACTAACACTGACCCAATAATAACATATAGCAGATAGTCAGCTGGACCCCATTAAAACCAACGTATGGTATAGTCTATCGATGGGTTTTGGGGTAGATAAAATAGACTAAATTTGTGAAAATAATCTAGAATACATGATTATATGTATGATGCTAAAAGGTGATGTGTGTAGAGCAATGGTCTCCAAATTACGGCCCGTGGGCCAAATGCAGCCCTTTGCTTGCCTTTATCTGGTCCCTGTGGCACGATTTCTCCCATGAACACCAACAATGGGGCACTATTCCTCCCACTGATATAAACAATTGGGCACTATTCCTCCCACTGAAACCCATGATGGGGCACTATTCTTCCCACTGACACCAACAATGAGGGACTATTTCTCTCCCTAATACCAATGATTGGGCTCTATTTATCCCACTGACGCCAATGATGGGGCACTTTTCCTCCCACCAGTAGCAATTATGAGATGCTATTCCTTCCACTGACACCACTGAGGAGGCACTATTTCTCACACTGACACCAATGAAGGGGACTATTCCTCCCACTAATACCAATGATAAGGTACGTTTCTTCCCACTGACACCAATGATGGAGACTATTCCTCCCACTGACACCAATGATGGAGCGCTATTCCTCCCACTGATATCCAAGATGGAGACTATTCCTCCCACTAACACCAATGATGGGGCACTATTCCTCTCACTGACACCCAAGATGGAGACTGTTCTTCCCAGTAATACCAATCATGAGGCACTAATCCTTCCACTGATACCAATGATGGAGCACTATTCATACCACTGACACCAATGATGGAGCACTACTGCTCCCACTGACATCCAAGATGGAGACTATTGCTCCCACTAACACCAATGATGGGGCACTATTCCTCCCACTGACACCCAAGGTGGAGACTATTCTACCCACTAATACCAATCACGAGGCACTATTCCTTCCACTGATACCAATGATGGAGCACTATTCATACCACTGACACTCAAGATGGGGACTATTCCTCCCACCATAACCACTGATGGGGCACTATTCCTCCCACTAATATCAATGATGGGGTACTATTCTTCCCACTAATACCAAAGATGATGCACTATTCCTCCCACTAATACCAACAATGAGGAAACATTCCTCCCACTGACACCAACTATGGGGACTATTCCTTCCACTGACACCAATGATGGGGCACTATTCCTCTCACTAAAACCTATGATGGGGTACTATTCCTCCTACTGACACCAATGATGGGGCACTATTCCTCCTCCTAATACCAATGATTGGGTATTATTCTTCCCACTAGTACCAAAGATGAGGCACTATTCCTCCCACTAATACCAACGATGAGGCAATAATCCTCCCACTGACACCAACTATGGGGACTATTGCTACCATTAATACCAATGATCCAATTACGGGGCACTATTCCTTCCACAAATACCAATGATGGGGTACTTTTCCTCCTATTGACACCAATGGTGGGGCACTATTCCTCCACTAATACCAAAAATGAGGCAATATTCCTCCCACTGACACATGTTGAGGACTATTCCTCCTCCTACTGATCATAAAAGCTATGTCATTTTTTTACTCCCACTGACCACCAAGCTTGAGCCATTTTATACTCCCATTGAGGCTGGGGCATTTTCTACTCTCACTGACCACATTTTGGCCCTCCTAAAGTATGAGGGACAGCAGCCTGACCCTTTCATTTGAAAGTTTGGTGTAGAGAAACTAAGGAATCCTAAAATATGACAGTGAAGCTCTGCCAAAAAGTATTTGATTTTGTGGGGATTGTAATAAAGCAGATTGTGTGTTGAATTATTCATATCTCAGAAGGCTCCAGAGGTCCAAAGTTCCTCCTGACATATCTGCTTGCAGCTAAAGCGGTCATTTGCCAGAATTTGGAGAGGGATTTAATAAAGATATCCAGAGAATTAATGCAGTTGTAGCCACTCTCAACAGTATCTCAGTGGTTAGCACTTCTGCCTTGCGACACTGGGGTACTTGGCTATATGCATGGAGTTTGCACGTTCTCCCTCTGCTTGCGTGGATTTCCTCCAACAACAAAGATATACTGTTGGGTTAATTGGCTACTATCCAAATTGGCCCTAGAAAGTGTGTCCATGAATATGAGAGAGGGACCTTAGATTGTAAGCTCCTCGAGGGCAGGGACTGATGGGAATGTAGGTTATTAAAGTGCTGTGTAAATGAATGGTGCAATAAAAATTCCTGTAACATATCAATATGGTACAAATGACAGCAACTTGCTTTTTTTTTTTAGTTTGGTTTAGTTTTTGCTGCCTATGTCCTCCCCAGGGAGATTTGCCTTCTTTATTTATCCTTTTTAAACAGTATCATGGATAGAGGAAATGTGGAGAAATACTTAATTTTAGAGTTGTCATCACACCAAAAGGGATCATATGTTCTGATGACGACTCTCTAAGGTCTCGTTCACATGTACAGTTATAATTGCCACCACAGTGGATTGCTTTTCAGAGGGTGTTTGACACATGTCGAGGAGGTGATATGTCACATTTGCACTTCTTGTTTTAACCCTCAAAATGCCCACCCACTGCACTGTAGTCATGTGCATTGATTGATTTTACAGGGCAGTTGAGGCATGGCCCCATTCACTTGAAAGGGTTGCATTCGTTGGTGGTACCACAAAATCTCAGCAGCATTTGTAAAGTCCTAAGAGACTTCATTTTTTGTGTTTAGGTGGGCAGTAAAGCCAGGGTTCAATCTCCTACTTTTACCGCCTCCTGGCCACTTCACTTTGGAAAGAAGGGAAGGGCAATGGAGAAGGTCTCCCCAGCTGGACACCAACAACAAAAAAAGGAAGTACAGGGGTTTTAACCCTTTCCTACTCTAAAACCTATAAAAAGGTTTTGGCTTTACATACACTTTGAAGGAAGTTTGTCATTGGAAAAACATATAGGCTGCACTTTCTGACCTTTCCCTTGAAAATGCTAGCTGCCTGGCTGTCTGGCTGAGCCTCCGTCCTCAACACTTTGAATCACAGACCCAAAACAAGAAAGCAAATACGGACTTTTCCCTGTCTTGCCTGAGTACTGTACTTGTTCCAGCATCAATGAGTCAGAATATATTAAAGCTGGTGGGTCAGCTCAACAGCCAGTCAACTAACATTTTTATCAAAAGGTCAGCAATGGCAGCTTGTGTATGTATGTGATTAATATGCAAATTTTTA